ATTTATTATTTTTGTGTCAAATTGAGCTTATATTTAAAATATGCAACATTATATGGTTTATACTTAAATGCGTAAGTTTCCGAAATATATGTTAGGTTATATATGTTATCACTGAACTGAGGTATTAAAGAAGATTAATTTGACTTATATTTTCAACGATTTATTTTCATTTCAACTTATTTGTTACAGATCAGTATAGAGACGTAGGTAGGAAATAAAACTATCTATTTTAAGTATCATTAGTTTCCTTCGACATGCTTTACAGCTTCCAATAATCTAATGAAAATAAATTACCTATTTACTATATTATATAGAACTATTAAGTTTTTTTAAATATATTTATGGTAAAATATATTAATGCCTATTTATCCCGAATCAAACTTGTATGATATGCATATAAATACAATTTTGACTTATGACTTCTRTTATGCCAACACGATGATTTTTAATAGTACAATAAATAGTTTCTTATCTATCTTCTTAAAATATTTTTTTCTTCACACATTGCATTTACTCCTGTATAAGACACGTAAATATAGTATAAGGTGAAGCAAACAAAAACTATAAAAAATGTTAAAAAATAAATCTATAAGATATAGATCCACAAATATAATATAATAATAAATAACCATTCACGGTCAAAACAAGTTTTAAATTACACAAATGTAAATCACTTCTTACTCATACTAGCTTAACCACAATTATCCACTCATTTAAAATACAAAGTAAATACATTATATGTGCTAGCAATTGCATTATGTGAACGAAATATTATTTATAAATTATAGTTTTTTTKCAAGTCTTTAACGAAAGTTAAAACACATTATACTGAAGTAGATACATGAAATTTTCACTCAATGTTTATATGAGCATTTTCTATAATCCATCAAAATAKTTTGACTCATGTTGAACTATTTATAGGAATATTAACTTTTCGTTTTCTTTTAATTTTTGCCTTTTTAAAAACTTGAAAGTGTAATACCATAAGGTTCTTCATAAGTTGTTGTAAGTGGAAATTTAAAAAAAAGTTGAGCATTAATCATAATTATTTTGAGTTAGAAATTCATAAGAAAATTTCCTTTTACATCTGAGATTTAAAAGCCTAATACAAGACTTCTCAAAAACTTGGCTATCTTCATAAAAAATATATACCATAGATTCATATTAAATTTTTATGAGCATTTGAAGTTTTTTCAAATTATATGTTATGTTTTTATTATTATATCTAAATTACTAAATGTGCTTGTTTGTACAGAATGTTTAAAAAAAAAGGAGGTATTTTGTGTCATCTGAATGAAAATTATATGGGATTGTGTCACACTTCCCCCAAACTACTATTCCATATCCTATAAGAGATTGTGTTGAAGTATAATATGTATTTTTTAGCCAGTGTTTATTTAGAAAGTGTTTTGCCATATTATAAAATGTCTATAGTTTGTGTGATTATTCAAGTTAATCTCTTATATATGAAGGTTCAGTCATAAATGTTGATCAAAAGTGACGCCTAAATATTTTATAACTAAAGATTAAAAATTTAAAACAAGGYTTCATATGATCATTTAATTCTGTAAAAAAAAAAATTAAATTTATTAATTACTTAATACTCATGATTATTTTGAGCTAAATTTAAAACAAGAATAAGGCTGTTAGTTATTCTATTGTAATTTAAAAACATTACTAGTACTAGTACTTGAAACTTCTAAATTAAGTATATTATTATCTATACATATAAAATCCAAATCCCAAGTAGTCACTGATCGCTGTAACTCAAAAACTACGCAACGTACGAACTTGAAATTTGGAATAGAGGTTCTTCTCGTATTTTCACCGTGCAATAAGAAGGGATTTTCAAAAATTATGCGTTTTAGTGGATTATAATTATAATTATTCATTTCCAATACGTATTGTGCTGCACGGCACGGGCTACCTGCAACCTATCCTGTTTGTCCGAAGGTGAATAATCGGAATTGTTCCTAGAAATTTATTGATAAAAATAATTTCATGCATCGTGCATAAWCCAATATAATATAATTCATATATCAATAGAATATTATGCTCAATTATATAATAATCGTCAAACGATAAAATGCGCACCGAGAACATAAACCAATACACATACAAATTAATAAAGAAGAAAMATTGTTCATTTGAATGGTTTAATCTTTGGAAGTATTTAACTGATTTTAAATTTTTTTACCATCAGAAAGCTACAAAATCCCATGAATCTATGGGCTATATTATATCTTGATAAGTTGCCCTTAATTTTTTAATGTAAATTTGAGATTTTTTTATAGAAATAATAATAATATTAAATATATTTTTATACAATTTAGAATGGAAGAATAAAAAATAAGCAATTTTAAAAATTGTTTTACTTATACAATGCTAAAAATCCGATAAAATAATATTATTGAATATACATTTAGTCTTGTATTTTAAATGACTGTGTTAAAATTCTTTAATGTAAATTAAGATAGGGTAAATCCACGGGAAGTTTTGATCATGACTAGTCTGGTATAAACAACGAATTAACCAAAAATGTTGAATCACATAGAGTCGGTATTTTTAACGGGCAACAAAGTGCACGGGAATCAGCTAGGTAGTACTTTATACACAGTACACAATGACATTTTTAATTGCAATTTTTCCAACAAAAATGAATTTAACCTACTCTATAGTAGTACGATTCTTATACATATAATCTAGTAAAATAAATTACTTAAACCACAATAATATCAAAAAAATAAAAAATAATAAAATACTTACTTAGTAATATTATGGCTAACAAGGCGTCTCTACTTCGATTTGTTTTTCGTTTCAATGATTTTATATAATTGAATTCAAATTTATCATATCCACTCCACAGATTCTCTAGAAACCTAATGTACAGCASAACGTTACCCACTTACCCGCTTTTTAAGATTAATGTACATATAAAATCAAAATTAATCAAATCACTCATCACTATCATGTAAGTTGTATATATGTATATTACATGTTTTTTTTTTTTATAACTTTTCGAATACAACCTTAAAACTTTTTTTGGTGTTTTGTAAAACCAATCTACTAGGAAAAAAATGTCCAATATGACGTTTTTAATTTAATAAATATTATATTCATATGCTGAATATAAAAGTAGGTAGTATAGTGCTTTGGAGTTTGAAATTTCGACGTTTCCGCGCGCACACAAAATATTCCAAAAATTATTGTATACAAAAGCATTCAACCAAAATCTGAAAACTACTCGACCGTTAATCAAAAGATTTTTGTTTTCAAACAGTATTATAGCTCACACAAAGATTCTTAAATACCTAACAGGGTCTATTTAATTTGTCAATTTTCCAAATTGTTGGTACCTATGTTAGGTAACCTAACAAAGATTTAACGGGTGTATTTTATTTTAATTCGTACCATGGATAACTATCCTGTACATAACTATATACAGATAATATTTAATTAAGATATATGCATTGTTCATCAATAAATATTGACCTAAACATTTATTTACCCATATCGTATAACTTACTATACCATTGTAACTGTAGTCTTAATAGTGCGATTATTACATTTATATTTATATAATATATAAGTAGTATACATAATATATTAGATCCTCATAAAATATATACCTATCTATACAGCTTGTACCGATCAAATTTTTGATCCCTTAGGATTACCAGAATACCTGTTCAAATATTATACTGCCGACAGTATTTCGCAACTTCAAAA